CTCTCTCTCTCTCTCTCTCTCTCTCTCTCTCTCTCTCTCTCTCTCTCTCTCTCTCTCTCTCTCTCTCTCTTCCGCCGTAGCGGTATCTTCAGCGCCGCAGGTAGCTTACCAATCTTATATCACTCATCTCTCTCTCTCGTGGTCTCCTTGTTGCAGGTGCGTGGCTTCTCCTTCCACCTCGAGGCCCACTATGGCGGACTACCTCCTCACGCGGCACTTCAGCTATGGCCGATCGGCCCTGCACACATCGCGCACATGGAACAACGGGTACCTGCTCCGATACCAGTGCATTCATACTCCGATTATTCACACTTGTCTTGCATGCAAACAGCGATACAGCAACTGGTGACATGCGCCCTGACAGTACTTAAGATATCGTAACCAGATATGAGTTCTCTTCAACTGGTGACATGCGCCCCACACAACTCACTATTCGCACTCTGGATCACCCTGGATGTCCCACACGCAACACTCACTATCATACGCAACACACACACACGCTATGCTACAGCTATCGCAGCGCTAGCTGCCACTACCTATCGCTACACTACACTTCTCTGCCCACTTCCTCTTCGGGCACACTGCAGACCTCCTTGCACAAGCTGCTAAGGCAGCGCTTCCGCATGGCATCCGCAGGAATGAATGAATGGCTGGACGCAGCCTCTTGATTTATACTTTTGCGCTGCGTTGGTCTGCCCTGTATCCCTGGCCCATGGTGCACACAGTCCCCCCCGTGGTACTTGCTGGACCGGACTGGTACTTTCTAGACACTCCCTTGACTGTATGACGACGACCCTACGACGCAGTGCAGTTGCACTGGGGTCCTACTATTTGACCTTGCCACTTGTCCTTGTCTCCAACATGGGCTTGCTTTAGTCACACCACTTGCCCACTTGCCAACCTTCTAGAAGGACCGCAGCTAGCCTTCTAATCTACAGGGCTACATATCGAATCCTGGATACCTATAGACCTACAACAGACCTACCTACCACTGGCGGTTCTACAGGTCGCGGGTTCAACTCTTCGAGTTGACGCAGGTATTGTACACAGGTAAGTTGGGGAACCAGGGATCGAGCCCTGGGACCTGCATCAGCTACTACGAATTGGTGAATACCGTTTCACATGAGAAGGATGATGCTCACTGTCAGTGCAAGAGTGGAAGGAGAGGTGAGTAAGGAAGGTTTCAGAGAAGTATCAGAAAAAGAACGTTCTCCACGACCACTGAAAAAACGAAAGGTGGATGAGACAAACCCGTACTGGATTGTGCAGCTCTGATGAAGAAGATGAAGACATAGATGCAGCTGCGGGCAATGCGTCATTGACTAGTGAAGAGCAGATACAGAAGGAGCTCGATTATTATTGGAGCCTGAAGTTGACAAAGAATGAGAAGCGATCGTTCGAGATTTTGGCTCGGTGGAAGGCAAAAGGGGTTGCAGTAAAGACTGATGAACAACAATTGTTGCTCCCCCCACTTCCTGATATGGCACGAGTGGCACATGCCATCCTATCTGTGCTTGCATCAAGTTCAAAAAGCGAGTGTAATTTTTCCGATGCAGGCAACACTATTACTAAAAAACGGAATTCGATAAAACCGTCAGTGGTGAATGATGTTTTGTTCTTTAGATCGAACAAAGACTTGGCAGTTTAGGACTGCAATATTTTAGATATTTGCAATCCTAGTGAAAATGACTGCAGCCAGATAGATCAAGAAAATTGTTTCCTAGTGAGCCAGCAAACTTTGCACAGTGAGATACGAAGCTTCAAGTTCAAAACTTGATTGATCTCATTTTTCAATGCTAAGAAGACCTAGGACAAATTTTGAGATGCCAAACGAATGTAGTATGTGAGGTTATATCATAAGTGACTTGTCTTTCTTGATGATGGCATACTTCTTTCTTTGTCCACTAAGGATTTGTTATTATTTTCATAATTATGTTTTGTTTTGTTATTTTCTCTTTCCTGACACCTCTAGTATGCTGTGAATTTTTTCTTCGTTTTCTAATGGCTTTTATTTTCGCATACACATGTGGCATGTGCGGTTGTCTTGAGCCTTACCATTCATGTGCGTACTTGTTCTTCAATTCAAATAGTTGGAAAACTTGGAAAGACAATGCCGGGTACGGGCGGGTGCGGGTGGTAAAAAAAATGCCAGCAACGGGCGGGTGCGGGTGGTTAAAAAAATTGTCAGCTACGGGCGGGTGCGGTTGGTAAAAAAAATGCTGGCTACGAGCGGGTGCTGATGGGATTATGCTTGAGGGTTTGGGCGGGGGTAAGTGGTGAAAATAATGTCTGGGTCTGGGCAGGTCTGGCTGCAACTCTTCAAGAAGGCCTGGGCGTGGGCGGGCCCGGGTTTGTACGCTCAAATCGGGCGCAGCTGCGGCTGGGCCAGGTTGTGAGGATTTTTAAACAGCTGTTTTGGCTGGCTACGGCTGCCAAATATTGCGGATGTCAAATATGGGTCGGGCGCGGCTCTAGAAAAAGTAGGAGTTTGCGAGCTCTGATTCCTATCTTTTAAATTTATTTATTGTGCGGCATTCACACACTGGGAAATATGACTTATCTCTGGAAATATTTGCGTGTCTCCATCCTTACGCAAGGAACATGAATATGGACGAAGCACAGAAATCCAGATTGCAAAATCACACTGAAGTCCAAGTAGTCAAAGTCGGAGCAGATAGCACAATGGTACCGGGTAACCATCCATTTGAGAATGATACAGAAGAATCGTGAGTCAATGTCCAAGCCCAACAGGGCAACACCAACAGCATAACCCAATGTAGCTCTCTCTTGTGAATGGCGCCAGGCACCCTATCTAATCTACAGCCTAAGCCTAAAACTACAGCAAAGAAAGCAACCAGACAACTTGACTACCAGCGAGTGATGATGTCAACACCAATGTCGACCTCCACCTCCACCAGGTACGTGTTCTCTTCACCCACAATCTCCCTTGTTACCCACAAAGCGCCCTTCACCTCCGAAGAACATCCTTCGCCCTCACCTCCCCTACGCCCTATGCAGCCCGGCTATGGCCGCCAGCGCCCAGTACATAGGCAGCACCCTACCACCTAGCACTAGCCTGCCTCATCCTAGTGCAGCGCAGCTTTGCACAGCGTCGCACCTCACATTCGCGCAGTGTGCCCGCAATGCCAACATTGGCCCATAATGCCTGCCCACTCGCTCTGCTTGCCTATATGCCAGTGCTTGCGTGTGGGCGGCTTCCCTTCAGCCTGCGACTGGGCCCCAGTGCCTGAACCCAGGCCTGATGCAGTTGGGGCCCAGGAGATGCAGTTGCGCCTCTTTCATCAAGGCCTGCGGCCAGATTCAGATAGTGGGCCGATTTCCCTTTGGCATTTTCGGCCTCTATACCCAGCATGCATTGTCGGCCTCACGTTCAATTGCCCAGGGCCTAACTAACTCAGAGGCCCTGGGTTCTCCACATTTGCAGAGATTCGAGACTCGGTGCACACCAACCAACTGGCGTGCTGCAACTGTATGGACCCCACTTCAGGAAATGTTTGCACAAAGGGCTCTTGTTGATTTGCTGGCCCGCCTTCACTTAGGGCGAGCACTGGGCTTGCTGGGGCCTTAGCCCAGAACATGTACATCATGGCAAGGCCCCTTCTTGAGGGCTCAATCCTAACATTCCATCCCCCTTAGCTTCCAAAGTCCGCTGAGATGCTTACTTCGCAGGTGCCTTCCCTTTCAACAGTCTCTCATATTCTGGCACCACCTGAGGAGCTGTCTCAATCAGTTCCTCTCTAGTAAACCACCGATCTTCTTTTGGATCCGTATGATGCCTGAATCTGACGCGATACTCTCTCTTGGGTTTAGGAGGTCTTCCTCGACCCAACGGCTTCGGAACAGGCATATCCCTGTGATCCACAATGTCGTCGATGTCCACTTGACCATCCATGGCTGGAGGCAGCATCGATCTCCTGGAAGGGAATTGATCTGTCTCAACGAAAGGTGCAAGCTTTGAGGCATGAAAGATAGGGTGAGTGCGTAGGTGCCCAGGGACACGAATGACATATGTGGGCCCATCCATCTCATCTCCCACTATATCCAGGACTTCCCAGGGACCAAAGTACTGAGGCATTAGTTTGCGAGAGATTTCGAATTCCTGTCCTAACTCACTAGCCTTGACCCAGACACGTTCCCCTACCTGAAATGTGGACTGTCTACGGTGTTGATTCTCAGAAGCAATCATTGCTTGCTGAGCTTTCTTCATGTGCTCGACAGCTTCTCGCAGCAACTTCTCATACTGCACACCATACTCAAGTGTGCCTGGGTTGCAGCGGGTCGGTTTTCAGGTAGGAGGAAGCCTAATGCTGATCTAGGCTTCCATCCCAAGTGTAGCTGATTAGGACTAACGTCGGTACTGCTATGGACAGCATTGTTGTACAGGCTGGCGATGAGAGGCAACTGCTCATCCCAGTCATCCTGGCTGGGCTTGATGTAATGCCTCAGCAAGTGTTGTACGACTCTGTTCATTTGCTCGGCTTGTCCGTTGGCTTCGGGATGATTCCCTGAAGTCATCTGAAGTTGACTGCCCATCTGTTCTGCAGTCTTCTTCCACAACTCACTTGTGAATCAGACATCTCGGTCACTAATGATTGACTTTGGTAAACCAAAATCACGCACCCAGTTGTCTTTGAACAACTTAATGACATAGTCAGTTCTTGCGGTCTCTGGCATAGCCACTAGTCTAGCGTACTTGGTGAATCCATCGATGATGACGAAGATGTCCCTCTTGCCACTCTTACTAGTCACCAGGGTGTCCATGAAATCCATGGAAACACTCTGTCCTGGACCAGCGCGAATAGGCAAGGGCTTCAACAACCCACGCGGTGCTTGAGTTCGCAGTTTGTCCCGCTAATAGACCTGACAGGTCTCTACGTACTTCTTTGCGTCATCTAACATTCCTGGCCACCAAAATCGTTGTATTGGGTTAGCACTCGTCTTCTTGTAGCCAAAGTCCCCAGTTGCGCCATGACATTCGCCTAAAAACAAACTACGCAATCGCTCACTAGATGGAACAACTAATCTTTTTATTCCGGCCTTATAAAGATAGAGTAACCCGTCCACCATCACAAACTCACTTTCTGTGGCCTTGTCTTTAGCCTGAAGTTTGCGCATGATGTCCATTGTGACAGGGTCTTCCTGATAGGCTCCCACCAATGATTGAGTTACTTCATCAGATACGCCAAAGTCAGAAACTAGCACACCTAGGTAGTCTGCTCTACGTGATAGCGCATCTGCAACCTTGTTGTACTCTCCCTTCAGATACTCAAGCTTGAAGTCATATTGGTCTATGACCTCAATCCACCGCTTGAGTGCGTCAGAAAGAGCCGGTTGAGTCTTGATCTATTTGAGGGTCTGATGATCAGTCCTCAAGTAGAAGAACCTTCCCAATAGGAAGTGTCTCCAGTGGACAAGTGCTTTATATAGAGCATAGAGTTCCCTTTCGTAGGTGGACTTTGCCAACTTCTTTGATGGCATCTTCTAACTCATGTACTCAATCGGTCTCAACTTTTTCCCATCCTGTTGAGCCAGCACTGCGCCAATGTCGTATTGGCTTGCGTCAGTGGTCACTATGAATGGCTTATGAGGATCGGGAACCATGAGAACTTCATGATTCATGAGTGCATGCTTCAATCGCTTGAAAGCACCCTCGCACTCATCACTCCARTCCCACGGCGTGTCAAGTCGAGTTAGATCTGTCAAAGGAGAGGCGACTGTAGAATAGTTCTTTACAAAGTTCCTATAGTAGCCGCACATTCCTAAGAAAGATCTGATCTCAGTGGCAGTCTGAGATCGTGGCCAGTCTCGAATACTAGCCACCTTCGCATCTTCCGGCCTAATCCCTTCCGCGGATACTTCATGACCCAAGTATAGTATCTTAGTGCGACCAAACTCACACTTCTCTAAGTTGACCTTATACTTGTGCTGTCGAAGGAGTGAAAGCACCGTCTCAACATGTTGTGCATGCTCCTCGGCAGACTTACTAAAGATCAGAATGTCGTTTAGATAGACCACGACAAACTTGTCTAAATGGTCATGGAAGATCCGATTCATAGCGTGCTGGAATGTTCCCGGCGCATTGCAAAGACCAAAAGGCATCACTACAAACTCATACAGACCATAACGAGTCTGAAAAGTTGTCTTGTGTTGGTCCTCAAGCCTTATAGCGATCTGATGATAGCCGGATTTCAAGTCTATCTTGCTATAGTACTTGCATCCCTGCACCCTATCCAATAGGTCGTCTATGCGAGGTAGAGGCTCTGCGTTCTTCACAGTGATGGCATTGAGGCCTCTATAGTCAATGCAAATCCTCAATGTACCCCCCTTCTTTGGTACGAATAGCACGAGAGATCCGTAAGGGGAAGTACTAGACCGAATCCATCCCTTTTCTATCAGCTCCTTAAGCTGTCGCCGAAGTTCATCTAACTCGGCGGGAGCCATCCTATAGATCCTTCCCTTTGGGGTCTTACTCCCTGGAATGATTTCTATAGCGTGGACAACTTCCCTTTCAACAACTCTTGTGGGCTCTTCGAACTTATCAGGGAACTTAGCAACGACGTGTTCTATCTCTGGAGGTGGTTTAACGGCCTCCCCTTTCTCAGAGACATACACAAGGTACATACCTTCCTCTTGGTTTTGTTTATAGTAATTGTACAACGCTGATGCACACAAGCAACCATAGGCATCTATAATACTACTGGCCTTGAACTTAGTCAATCTGACAGTTCGGCCATCGGGCAACTTATGCTTGAGCACCTTCTTATCCCAATCGAACTGGGGCTTAGCAACTTCGAGGTAGTACATGCCTAACAACATGTCGAATGGTAAGTCGTCGCTAACCAAGAACGAAATCTTATGATTAAGTTCGCCTCCTCCATAGGAGAAGGTACAGACTACGTCCTTGATATAGTCTGTTACTATCATGCGCTCCTTGTTGGCCAAAGTAGATGCTACAGGTCTACTAAGGTGTCGTACCCGATGCTGTAGGTGCAGCCTTTCCAAACAGTCGCGGCTTATGTAATTCCGCATGGAGCCTATGTCTATGAAGGCACCACATTTGCGGCCTCCTACATCGACTTCCACCACGAAATGTTCCCCTCTAGGACCTTTCTTTAGCGCCACCCAAGACTCGCAAGGGTCCTTGTTTGACCACTCACTCTCCAAGTCTTCTAAGGCATTTAACACATCTAACGTACAGAGCATAGTTTGGTCTAGATGAGTCTGCGGGGTGACTAAAGAGTCATTAGCTTTGGCCTTCTCGTGAAGTGGGGAGGGTATCTAACCCCACTTCACCAAGAGTAGAAGCAGCTAAAAATTTCACTCGCCATACGCGTTTCCCGAGCTAGAAGCCTCGGAATAAGATGCCCCCATCTGTTGAGGTATGTTTTGCGAAACCTTTGCGTTATGGTACTTGTACTGCGAGTGACCATATTCCCCGCAGTTGATACAAGCGCCACCCAATCAGCCTGCTTGGTCACGCCACACGTCTTGATCAAGACCTGCCTTCACGCCACACGCCTTGATCAAGACCCGCAGTTGATGCGAGCACTCGGCGGTCACGCCACACGTCTTGATCAAGACCTGCCTTCACCCAATCAGCCTGCTTGGTCTGATTGGAGGCGGCCTTCCCTTGACTCCTTGGTTGGCCCTTCCCTCGGCCACCTGCCTTAGCCTTCACAACTGCGGCGAGGGTGCTACTCTCAGCGGTCTCCTCGCCGTCGTACTCTGAGTAGTCCATCAGGTCAGTGAGCTCATCGATTTCCATTTGAGTCCCATCTGACTCAACCATCATGAACTTCGCCCCCTTCTTCTTCCACTCTTGAGGACTCTTCTTCTTCTTCATGTCATTCTGGGAGGGCTGAGCATTGCCTAGCGTGGCCTCCAAATCTAAGGCTTTCCTAGATAATGTCTCAAATGAATGGTACTCGATGCGTGCCTCATTGGCCAGTAAGTTCCTGATGTTCTCTGGAAGACATCTAACAAACGTAGTTAACAGGAACTGGTCACTGTAGTTGATGCCTGGAACGAGGATCAGGCTCTCAACGGTAGTTGTAAGCTCTCTATCTGACTTGAACTTTCGTTGGTCTAACTTGTTAATCGCATCAGTGGCTAATCAAGCCTGGTTGCTCTATTTTTCATCTCTCTTTCTCTATCGGTTGCTTTCTTCAGATCCCTCTCTAACTGTTCACGGAGCCTTTCGACCTGTTGGATCTCTCTGAGCTCCCTCTCACGTGGGGTCAACAGTCTGAACTGCGAGCCCACCATTTGACTAGTAGACTGTCGAGAACCCATTGAACTGGAAGTGCCCGTGGAACTTGTTGGCATTCCCAACATGGTCCCATTGGTTGCAGACGAAGACGCAACCGAGGATGCTGCTGATGCAGAAGACATGTCTAATGTCCTGACTGCTGCGGCAGCCTGTTCCCTAGCTGCGGTGTTTACTGTGGCCCTAGCTGCTGCTAGTGCACGGGCTCTACGTTCGGCTATAAGCCGTCTTTCTTCTCCCGGTTGTAGGGCCCGGAACACGTGCGGGACCCTAAGTGCTTCCGCACATGTTAATCTCCTGTTGTCTGCTCTATCATCAGGATTTGTTCCGCTCATCAGTTAGGCAGACAGTTTCTGCACTAGAATCCCCTAGACAGAACTGGTTATGGTAGCATACAACAATCCTAATCTAATCTGTTTGTGAGGTGTTAGCAATCTGTCCACCAACTAATCAAGAATACAAAAAGGCCATGTCGCAGATGTATGATGAGTGGGTATGGTTGTGTATACAATTGAGTACCAATTAGAACCTACCCTTCCCCTCAATCCAACATACCGGTAAGCATCATTGAGCGAGCAGTGTCTTCGTGTGTGTATCGGCCCACCCCTCTGCCCAAGTCGTAGCCGAGCAAGCCAGCCAGTCCACTCTTATTTACCCTCGTACGAAAACGAGCCTTACAACCGGTTGATCTGGCTGATCAGGAGGAATTTATAGAGCGCCCCCATCTCTTCAGGAATTCTTTAACGTCGCAGTCAGGACGACGATCACAACCTGAATCAATCCGAGTCCCCAACCAGAAATGTTTATAGACGGTCTGGTAAGCGTCTCATAAAAGGCTGGCACACCCGGCATGACTTCTATTTAGCGCAGCAAGTGCCAAAATGGACAGCAGTCATCGCATGCATGACCTACTCCCATTGGGTTGGCATGGTGACCGTGACCCAGTGCTTCGACCAGGGCCCTTCAGAGGCACAACCCTTTCTCCTTCCAGATGGTTACGGGAAGATTGTCGTCTCTCAAGGTAGCGCGCTCACGACACCTCACCAAAAGAGAGGACTCTCAAGTTGGACTCACTTCCTCACGGTAAGAAGAGATTGAGAGAGTAGATAAGGTAAGGGAACCACGTACCTGGAGATAGCTTCCCCCAACCACAGATTTCTCACCAATTGAGCTCAGTGTGCATTTGATGACCAGTCTTCGCCTCGGTACCACCCACAACGCAATGCAGTGCCACCTCAGCCGAATGCCACATCAGCATGCTCTCATCACCAATCATACATTCCGCATGTCACCACGGCATACACTGCCGTCTTAGCCTTCCGGCGCACCCCTCTCTACCTATGGTGTGCACCTATTAAGGCCTGACGTCACAAGTACCCACTGCGAAGAAGCATCGTCAAGGCACCAAGTTTGTATAACGCCAGCGTGCCAAAGGTAAGTGGCGAATCAAACCAGCTCTGATACCAAATTGCAAGGAACATGAATATGGACGAAGCACAGAAATCC